CCGTCTAAAAAAAAAAAAAAAAAAGGAAGAAAAGAAAAAGGAAGGCATAGACCCATGGAGAGAGCGAGTACTGATTTCGAGAGAGAGGAAGACAAGACTGGACACCCCTCTCTCTCCTGGGGATCCCCCCCCCACCGCTCACCTCCTCTAGCCCCTTCCCCAAGTGACTGGCGAGTTTGCTCGGCATTTGACCATCACAGGAGTGTGAATTATTCCACCAGGGTGGTCCACTGATCTTAACGAGGGCGTCTTGCTTTTCTTCCCCATGTAAGAGGATAGTTTTTATCCTAAGGCAGGTTGACACACACAGGCGGGCCTCCGTCCCTGCACTCTGTCCTACGGTGCTTTGCGGTGTGTTTTACATACGGAAGCTTTGCAGCCACCCTGCACCAAGCCAGACCCTCGGCATCATTTTTCCAACAGCAGGTGCCCACTTCATCTAGGTATCTGCAGTTTTTAAAAATAAGGTATTTTTTTATCTTTTCTTTTTTTTAGACAGAGTCTCACTCTGTAGCCCAGGCTGGAGTGTAGTGGTGCAATCTCAGCTCACTGCAACCTCCGCCTCCTGGGTTCAAGTAACTCTCTGCCTCAGCCTCCCAAAGTGCTGGGATGACAGGTGTGAGCCACCGCGCCTGGCCTAATGAGGTATTTTCAATTAGAGTATACTGACTTTAGAAGTAATGCTGGCCAGGCGTGGAGGCTCACGCCTGTCGCCCCAGCACTTTGGGAGGCTGAGGCGGGTGGATCACAAGGTCAGGAGTTCGAGACTAGCCTGGCCAACATGGTGAAACCCCATCTCTACTAAAAGTACAAAAATCAGTCGGGCGTGGTGGCGCACCTGAAATCCTAGTTACCCGGGAGGCTGAGGCAGGAGAATTGCTTGAACCCAGGAGGCAGAGGTTGTAGTGAGCCTCAGATAGCACCACTGCACTCCAGCCTGGGTGACAGAGCAAGGATCCATCTCAAAAAAGAAACAAACAAACAAAAAGAAATAATGCTGTTGCATACTTAATAGAGTACAGTCGAGAGTAAACGCAACACATGAACTGGGAAGACAAGAAATGCTATGACTCCCGTTACTGTGGGGGCTGGGACCGAGCCAGGAACGTATGGGGTGTGCCTGCATTTACTACGTTAATATCAAATAATGATGGGATTTTAAAAAATGATGTTGTTACTCACCACCGAGGGCATCGGATAAATCAAAATCATTATCTGAAAGAGAAAAAAAGAGTCAACTTAGATACAAAGAAGATGAAAGTGAATTTGAAAATTAGAACGATAAGAAATGATATACGATTTTCTGACTTTTTGTGATATGTAAAACAGCAACTTTAAAAATTTACAATGTGTTGTGATTTCTCTTCTCATTCTAAACATTCACCTTCACGCCTAAAAGTAAGAATATGTTAGCCCCGGTTTTAAATAAATGATGACCTTCGGGCTCAGTAGAAATTAAAATAGTGGGCAAACGTGATCATTTTATGTGAGTATTATTCCTAAAAGGCAGTTCCTTTGAAATAGATGAATAACAACTTTGAATATGTACTGAAAAGAACATGGGGAACAAAATTTTCCCTTTTTTGTTGACAATTTTCCTGCCATTACAAACCAAAATATAGTAGAAGCACTAGAGAACCCAGAAAGACACACCATTATGCATTTCAAAAAAAAATCTCATGAAATCCCACAGAATGAGAACTGGGAGGGTGGGTGGACTGGCAGGTAAGTGGACGGATGGATGGATGGGTGGGTAGGTGGGTGAGTGGATGGATGGATGGATGAATGGATGGATGGATGGATAAACAGCTGGATGGATGGATAGATAGGTGGATTAATGGATAGCTAGGTGGATGTATGGATGGATAGACAGGCAGATGGATGCATGGATGGATGGGCAGATGGATGGATAGATGGACAGATAGGTGGATGGATGGATGGATGAATGGATGGATGGATGGAGGCATGGATGCATGGGTGGGTGAGTGGATAGATTAATGAGTAGGTGGATGGTTTTGTGGATAGCTGGGTGGATGGACGGATAGTTAGGTGGATGAGTGGAAGGATATACAGTAAGGGGATGGATGGAGGTACGGGTGGATAGGAGGATGGATGAGTAGGTGAGTAAGTAGGTAGGTGAATGGGTGAATGGATGGATGGGTGGATAGGTGGATGGATGGAGACAGGTAGATGGGTGGATGGATAGATAGGTGGATGGATAGATGGCTAGATAGGTGGATGGATGGAGGGATGGATGGATAGGCAGTTAGGTGGATGGATAGGTGGATGGATGGATGGATGAACAGGTGGATGGGTGGATAGATAGGTGGATGAATGGATAGCTAGCTGGAAGTATGGATGGATAGGTGGATGGATGGGTGGATGGATGGATGGACAGGTGGATGGATGCATGGATAGACAGGTGGATGGATGGATAGATGGATGGATGCCTGCATGGATGTATGCTCCTGTTTCTATATTTTATTAAAACGATTTCAACACTACTTCAGCGTGGCCGTCTGCGACATGCTGAAGAAAAGCCAAATTCAGGAAAATTTGGAAAAGTTGACTCGGACTGTTTGGTCAACTGGAGGAAGAGTTAGGATAATCGTCAACATCCAGCATCCCACTCCTCAGCACTAACGACACACAACGTCTGTCAAGTGTCAGGAAGTAGCAGGTGGCGGGTGGTGAGGGTTCCACAAACTACCCGCGGGAGCCCCGTGAACACTGGGATGTGTCCAATTCCACAGCAGGGGCACATGAGCAGTCTAAGCTTCTGTGTGCATAAATGGAGTGTGCCTGTATACGTCAGAGGGGCGTGTGTCTATGTGTGCATGTGTGCACGCATGTATATTTGGGCATCTGCAGTGCACGTATGTGTGGGTTTTGTGTGCATGCACGGGTGTGTAGGTGGGTTCTGTGTATGTATATGTGTATGTGGTTTTGTGTGTGTATATATGCAGGTGCATGTATGTGTGGGTTTGTGTATGTGCGTATGTGTAGATGTGTTTTGTGTACATGTAGAGGTGTATTTTGTGGGTTTCTGTGTGTGTGTGTGTGTATTATATTGGTGTGTTTTTAGTGTGCATAGGTGTCAGTGCATGTTCATGTGGGTTTGTGTGTGCATATGTAGGTGCGCGTAGTGTGTAGGTGTGTTTCTATGTGCCTATGGATAGATGCATGTATGTGTGGGTTGTGTATTGCACAGGTGTGTTATGTGTGCCTATGTGTAGATGCATGTATGTGTGGGTTTGTGTATGTGTAGGTATGTGTAGTGTGTTCATGTGTTTTTCATGTGCAGGTGTGCAATGGCATGTATGTGTATGTGTCAGTGTGTGTATAGGTGTAGGTGTGTTTGTGTGTGCATGTGTAGGTGTGTGCATTGTGGGTGTGTGCATGTGTAAATGTGTAGTGTGCAGATGTGTTTCCATCTGTGCACATGTGTAGGTGCATGTGTGCATTTTGTGTGTCCACATGTCACTGTGCACGTTTGTATGGGTTTGTGTGTGCATGTGTAGATGTGTATAGAGTGCAGGTGTGTTTCTATCTGTGCATATGTGTAGATGCATGTTTTGTGTGTGCGCACATGTGTAGTTGTGTATGGGTTTGTATGTGCATGTATAGGTGTGTTTTGAGTATGTGCGTATGTGTAGCTGTGTCCGTGTCTCCTTGTATGCTTGTGTGTGTCTGTCTGTGTGTGCTCATGGCTGCCTGTGTGTTTCCGTGTGTATCAACATGAGTAGAAAGTAGAGGAAACTCTCAGGTCAGCCCATGTGGCCCCATGCCAAATATCAGAGAGGAGTCCTTTCCACAACCCCAGAGCTTCAGAACGGCTGTTTCTACAACAGAACGCTTGCCAGACACAATAAACGCAAATACAGCTGCTCTCCCAGCTCACAGCAGATCTTTAGACAGCAGCAACGGGGGATCCCACTGATCCTGAGTAAACCATAAGGCAGGCACAGGGACGCATATATACATCCATTCATGTTCGTATGTTTACACAGAAATCTTTAACTGTCTTTTTCGAAGTTTTATTATCTTTTTCTTTATTTACATCTTACCTCACATATTTATTCGTGGTGCAAACACTTCAAATCTACTGTCTTCGGCATTTTCAAGCATACTATGCATTCTTTTTTTATTATTATAGAGTTCTGGGGTCCATGTGCAGAGCATGCGGGTTTCTTACACAGGTATACACGTGCCATGGTGGTTTGCTGCAGCCATCACCCCATCATCTACATTAGGTATTTTCCTAATGTTAGCCCTCCCTAATCCCTCCACCCCCTGCTATCCCTCCCCTAGCCTCCCACCCCGCAACAGTGTGATGTTCCCCTCCCTGTGTCCATGTGTTCTCATTGTTTGACAGCCACTTATGAGTGAGAACATGCAGTATTTGCTTTTCTGTTCTTGTGTCAGTTTGCTGAGAATGATGGTTTCCAGATTCATCCATGTCCCTACAAAGGACACGAACTCATCCATTTTTATGGCTGCATAGTATTCCATGGTGTCTATGTGCCACATTTTCTTCCTCCAGTCTATCATTGATGGGCATTTGGGTTGGTTCCAAGTCTTTGCTATTGTGAACAGTGCTGCAATGAACATTCGTGTGCATGTGTCTTTATAGTTGAATGTTACATAACAAACAACTCCATCAAAAAGTGGGCAAAGGGTATGAACAGACACTTCTCAAAAGAAGACATTTATGCAGCCAACAAACATAAGAAAGCAAGTCATCATCACTGGTCATTGGAGAAATGCAAATCAAAACCATATTGAGATACCATCTCATGCCAGTTAGAATGGCAATCATTTAAAAATCTGGAGACAACAGATGCTGGAGAGGATGTGGAGAAATAGAAACACTTTTACACTGTGGGTGGGAGTGTAAATTAGTTCAACCATTGTGGAAGACAGTGTGGAGATTCCTCAAGGACCTGGAAATAGAAATTCCATTTGACCCAGCAATCCCATTCCTGGGTATATATCCAAAGGATTATAAAGCATACAATGCATTCTTACTAACCACAGTCACCACGAGTACAATAGATCCCTTGAACTGGTCTCTTCCTCTCTGATGGAAACGTTGTCTCCTTTAATTAAGCTTCACTTTCCCACTTCTCCCCCAGCCCCTTGGTAACCACCATGCCACTCTGTGCTCCTGAGCTGGGCGTTTTGAGATCACATATGAGTGCGTCTCGGTCGTAGGGTATTAGCGCTTCTGTGCCTGGCTTACTTCACTAAACACCATCGCCTCCAGTTCCATCCACGTTGTTGCAAATGGTAGGACCTCCTTTTTCAAGGCTGAATACTATTCCACTGTGACTATACCCTATTTTCTTTCTTCATTTAATAGCTTTATGGGGGCACAGTTTACCTACCATGAAATGGACTCATTCTAGGTGTGCAAATTCCTGACTTTTAGTGAATGGACAGAGTTGATGTGCCCCATTTTCTTTACGTGTTCATCCCCTGATGGGCCATTCTGGGGACTGCGTGTCTTGGCTGATGTGAATGGCGTGCGATAAACATGGAAAGGCAGAGTGTCTCTCTGACACACTGAATTCCTTTCCTTTTCTTATCCCAACTATCTATGCATGGGGACTTGCCCTGCCTTGCTGGGAATGCCTGAAGGCTTAGAAGTCACCTCTACATGTCTATATATGTAGATATATAACAGACAGACTGCTAGATCAATTCCTGTTTCAATTTCCTTGACACTCTCTTGCCCGGAAATGACAGAACTATGAGCTGCCTTGAAGGTTTACCTCTGTTACTGCCTCAGCGATAGGCATGACTTCTAAACCTTACGCATATTCCCAGCAAGTGACGGCCAGTCCCCACCCTCTCCACTCCAACAGATTCCAGGAGTAGATAACATATTCTTTAGAAAGACAAGCTCTTTAGTAAGATAGGAGGACTTAGTAATAAACAGAGTGAACCCTCAGAATGCTTAAAAAAAAACAGCAGCAGCAATGACAAAAAAAACAAAAAGCAGAAAACAAAAAAAACCCCACACATGTGAAAGTGAAATACGGGGATTATTTTTATGTGTCATCCTTCTTACTTCTGTAATTTCACCCTCATAAAGAGAAGATGATCACAGATACCATCACTAAAGAAACAAAACAAAGCAAAATAGGACAATCGCCTTCAAGTGACTCATCCTCGCAAGCTTCAGGAAATACTCAGAAAACAGCAGTCAAGGG